TCATTCCACCAGCAAGGTGAGTAATACAAAGGTTTGGTATGGTATTAATGGAAATATTTAGCAAATAGTCCAAAAAAGCAAATTTTCAATCGGAATCTTTACATGTAATAAAGGTCACATTTTTTTGTTAATTTGAAAAAATCCCTGCTAATTAATTTAGTAAAAACATGTCCTGTATAGTCACAAACATTATAGTCACCAAATTCTTGAAATTTCACTATGGTCCCGAGGTGTGTGACTATATAGGAGTCTGACTGTATATAAAACACTTAATAAAGTTGACAAAATGCAAATTTTAAGGCTTTACGTTTTGTTGTCTATACTTGATCAATGCACTTAAAAACCTCAAAGCATTTTTCTTTCTCTTCTTCAATGTCCCTTAACTACTCCACAACATTTTCATAAAAAATTATTCCAAGGTCAAAGAAAGGTTAAAGGAAATAAGGGACGTTGTTAAAAAGAGAATGCAAATTGCTATAAAGGAAAGTGAGTATTTTCTCACCAAGTTTTCACTAGATTAAAAATGGAGAATTGGGAGCACTTTGTAGCCACAGCCTGCGGGTTATCAGTTGGGTAACCAAGCCCAATGTACAGTGGACAGCTTGCTGTGAACATCCTTGACAATAATGACAAAGATAGTCAGTCACTATTTATTTTATTTACAGTTTACAGGTTGGGCCCTGGTGATGGTGACATGGATTTATTTGGAGGGTTTAGGCAACATCTTTCGATTGTCAACATTGATGATTGTTACATGTTGGAGTCATCACCTATGCAATAAAGATCCATTAATTATTATTTTTTCTGATATTTCTGTCTATATAATATAAAATGTATCCTATTCACCACCCTGTAGATGCACATATTCAGCATTGTGTTGATGAACTCAATGCATTATCTGTATTGTGGGGATTTTTGTGTCAGCCTGCATGCAAAATTCGGAACAAGAAAAGCCATAATCCTTGGGAATGGAACTAATAAAATCATAGACCAGGGGACAATCTGAATAAAATTGTTATGATATTTTGACAAAATCTCTACAATCATTAAAAGCATAATGGACACTCATTTTGTGCAAAAGTCATTTGTATAATATGCAGGCGGTTACACAGAGCCTGTTGCTTCTGAAACTTCACTAGAATATAGCTGTAGCCTCTCTAAGTCCAGATCATCAGCAAGATCAAAATTATCTCACACTTTTATAATCAAACTTTTGCAAGAACTTTCACCATAACATATGTTATGTTGATCATTTTTTTGTGATCTGCAACAGTGTCCACTATGCTATCATTAAATACATATCAAGGCTTATTATTGACTATTCTTATAGCCTTGTTCTCTTACAAAACAACATGATCATACAATCTATAATCTAATAGACTCTTTTTGAGATCCAGCTTCTAGAGTATCACATTTGAATTTTCTTCCATTACATCAAAAGCAATATGAAAAAAATGCTCAACTATTTCATACTGTCCCCCAAGAAATATTTTGCTAAGTATATTCATGGATCAATTCCTGAATTTTGTCAAGAAATCCATTGTGGGTAAGTATATGCTTATTTACTTGAAAAAGAGAGTCACAAAGATCAAGGTTATGGATTAAATGAAAGTTTCAAATCTCACATATCAAAAAATTGTGCAAGCTTTGAGGTTTATGGAACTGCAATAATATCATGGGTCATGACCCTATAACTCCAAATGGATCAAATTAAACCCTATGAGCTTTAATCCAAGTTCTAAACTAACAAGTCTATTATGAGGTTTGGATGGAAATATGTATGAGACTAATATCAAGGAAGTTAGAATTATCCTCAAAGATATGGATCTTGACAATTACATTTAATCAAGCAATATAATATGTAGACTTATTTATTATAACCTTGCTAAGATCAAAAATAACTAATAATTCTCAATGACAAGCCACAAAGCACGTCGATTTTTTTTGAAATTCACTGTCCACATATTTAATTGAAAAATGTCCACACTAGGTGCATAGTAAGTAATAATGACAATATTGAAACCAAAGAAATAACAATTCATTGTTGATAAGAAACACTAGGCAATTTTTATTCGTAGCAGCATACAAGTTTACTAAATTATTATTTAATAATATAAAAAAAACAAACACATGCTTTCTTCAGGATCTTCCCATATTGTAAAAGGAATTTTATTGCCTATTGTTGCTTGTAGTGAGTATATTATCATCAAAACAATTTGTAAAAGATGTGTAGTGGTGGATGGAAATGGCCAAGCAACATTTCCAAAAGAGTTGTTTTCATCATCAGGTACCAAATTTGGTGTCAATGTAAGATTATCATCACTTGAATCGTCATATATCACGTTAATATATTTGAACTCTGTCATCAATGTTAAATCACTTCCTGAACAAAAACCAAGCTAGATTATACTTCCATATTCCATTATGTATTATTAGATTGGACATGTTGCATTATTTTATTATTATTATTATTATTACTACTACTGATATTATTATCATGGCTAGTATTATGGTGCTATTATCACTGCTGCTATTATTATTACTTGTACTATTACTATTATTACTTATATTGGTACCACTATTGTTATTATTACATAACTTTGGATTTACAATTAATTGGCTGGTTCATATTTTTTCATGATATCGGTCATTTCATCTGCCTCATATTCAAGTATTTCAAAAGCTGCTTTGGATATCTAAAACATTCTCCACTTGTAGGAAGTTAAAAGTTGATCATCATTGTCGTGACGTCTTTTAATTTTTTTTGCTTGATATAGAAAGAAATTAATGAATTTTCGTCAAGTATTGAAGAAAGTGAATAGTTTCTTTTTTCTTCCTAATTAGCCACCACACCATTATCACCAGCTTCATAAAGCCTTTATTGATGACAAGTGGTGGATAATTGGATGGATCATCATCTAAACTAGTAAGCTGATATGAAGGAGGTAAATTAGAAGAACTGCTGAACATCGTTGCTATTTTTGTAGGTGTTGTTGAAACCAAAATTGAGTATTTCTATTGTTGATACTCTGTTAACTACTCGTGACGTGTAAATGGTGAGATGCGCACAGAGAAAAATAAATCAATCGATAAAAGTACTTATATGCAAAAATTATTTACCCTGTTTAATTAACATGTGGTTATATTTTAATAGTTTGAAATTTTTTCTTACAAGCTTAAAATAAAAAAAAATAAAAATCATGAAAACTATTTGTATCAATAATTTATAACTATTATTACTATTATTATCAATTAGGTTTATAAAATTGATATTATTCGAAAAATAATTTGGTGGTTCAATTTATCAGTGTGCTTGTCTTTTATGAAGTGAAAAGGCTAGATCGGATTCGCAATTCATATTGCAAATCTTACATCTAATGAAGGATCTTGAAACAACTTGTCCTGTTGTTGAAGTAAATTGCATGGTAACTGATTCGCCAATACCGTTAAAATTGATAGGGTTAAAAAAAGGACTAAAATTATTGATGGGGTTAAAATTATTGATATGATTATTGTGAGGAAGACTACCACTATTGGTGTAAGTATTATTGTTATTATTGAGTCCTGGTGAATTAATATTTGGAATTGCGTGTGGATTCTGTGTCTGATTGTTTGTTTGATTACTATGTTGTACTTTATTTAATGGACCTTGATTTTTGATTTTTGATTTTTTTTTTTGCCTTTCTTTTGCTTGAATGTTAGTGGAACATGTCTTATTTCATCCTCCTGAATACCTTTCATATTATGAACAAGCCTTTTATGTCTACTAAACGAATATCTATTATGATTGACTTCTTTACATCCAGGACAAGTGATTAGAATTGGGTGATAAGCTTCTGGATGATTGGAATCTATATGATTGCTTAATTCTAATAGTGAAGAAAAAGACGCATTGCACATTTCACAAGGAAATTGCGGATATATTTCAATGATATTATTGGATTGATTAATAGTTTCTTTGCCTTTAGTTGATGTAGTAATGATGTTTTTTATATTTTGATTATGAATATTGCTATTACTATTGTCACTGATGTCATTTTCTTGTTTTTTATTTTGGATTTGGATTTGGATTTGAATATTACTATTATTATTATTAATGCTGATTTCTTTTATATCTTGAACTTTGTCATTAATCGTACTCGTGCTCATACCCATACCCATATCATTGTCATTAATAATATTCATACTCGTACTCATATCATTGTCATTGCTATCATTGTCAATTTCCCTCTCCTCCCACTCATCATCATCATCAATAATTATAAGATTTCTATCTTTGTCTCCTTTTTTAATTTCATCAATGCCATTACCATTATCATCTCTATCATCACTGTTGTCTTCAAATTTAGCAATTGTAAATTTATTTTCATTAGAATCAGTCTTGATTTTTTAATATATTATAAATATAATCATTACCATTACCATTACGCCTTTTTGGTTTTCTTTTTGCTTTCTTATTAGTATTATTAGGAGCATTCAAATGTGCTGATTTAACATGTAGAAGAAGTGAATCCTGACTTTTTAATCTTCTTGAGCAAATCAAACATCTTACATTATCCATTATGATTTCCTATCATCAAGAACAAAAAATCGAATTTAGATTTGAATAATTGACTAATTATTTTTTTTTTTTAGATTTATTTACCTCGTTTATATTTTACTCGAAAAAATTTTTGTTACTAGTATTGATTGGTATTAGAATCAGGAGTGTTAGATAAATATAATAATAATTTCAAACCATTTCACACAAAACGATCGAAAGTGATCGACACTTAATCAATGAATGATTTTTAATATTAAAAATACAGAATTGTTATTCGCACCCCTCCCGTGACTAAGACAAAGATGAACCAATAAAATCATCACATTTTAAAGCCATTCATTGGTCACATTACTACACTTAGTCACGGGAGGGGTGCGAATAACAATTCCCTAAAAAAATATCATATCCTTTATTTGTTAAAAAATTAATTATATTTGAAGAAATACTAATACCATTGACTTCTACTAACTCAACCTCCTTCCATACTACTTTTATTGGATTATTAATAATATCTGCATAAACATATTGATTATTGTCATACATAATACCTAATTGCCCAATCTTCATCACCAATTAAATCTCTTAATTTTTCACTGCCTTCTTCTCCAATGAATCAACATAGATAAGAATGTCTAGCAGGCAAATATCACCTTTAATAACATACCCTCACCACATTGAATAGTCAATGACTTTTCCCCTAAACTTCTATGATGTAAGGTCAATACTAAAAATTAATGATCTTTTAAATTCTGAAGGAGAAGGGACATTTAAAGGATACTCATGATAATTAGAATGTTTTCGTGTTTCATGTTGATTTAAACTATTTTTTGAATTATATAGTTAGCACATTCTAAAGACCTAAATTTTGTGCAAATTTTAAAAGTATAGAAGTCATGTTCTATCCTACCTTTTAAAAAGAGCTCTATTAATTGATGGAATAAGTCTTTAATTTTAATGTAATAGAGATATTTTCTAAAAAAATTATTTGTTGTAGAGTTCTATTCTTAAAACATGCACTTTATTATGCTCATGTGCCAGGATCATTGCTAAATTTAGACTAACAATCGACAATCATATCTAAATTTGGCAGGAAGAAAATAATTGTTTAACAAAATCACGTGAAGACCTTTCATTGCATTTTTGAACGAATCACGAAATCGCAATTTTTGTTGAGCGCGTGGCGCAGCAACAGGAGGTCTTTAGACCGAACCAACCATATATTAATATATAAAAAAATTTTTTATTTTGCAAGAAAAACTCTCTTCAATTGTATTATTGGATTTATTTCCTTCCTCGCCATTATCACTATTTTCTTCTATCTCCTCGTCTTCTTCATCTTTGTTATCATTATTGTCATAACCACCATTAACCAATTCTTGTTCGTTGGTATTATGAGATCGCGTCCGTATGTTGATGATCAATAACCGTGTAACATAATGTTCGCTTTGTCTGGTTTTGTTGCAGTATGTCCCATATTAATATATACAATTATAATTATGTAATTAATTATTTTTCAAGCTTTCTTTCTATTTTTATCATTCTCGCCCACACACACTATTCTTGTACATAATTATATTTTCACATTTTAATATATATATATGTTATAAGTTCAATTTCTAAAAATATATAATAATATGGATGATAGGTACATAAAGATTGAAAAAGTTGGAGAAGGTTAGTTTTTTTAACAATATTGTGAATTCACGAGCCATAAATAAATCAAATTTTAAAGAATTTATTTTATTATCTTATTATTATTATGGTTATTTTTATAACAATAAAATCAATAAAAACAGGGACATTTGGTGTGGTATATAGAGGCAGAGATCAAAAAACAGGATGCGTTGTTGCATTAAAAAAATTTCGTATACAAAATCAGTTTGCTGGTGGTGGTAGTAGTATGCCAGGCATACCTTATACAGCCATTAGAGAAATATCAATACTAAAGAGAATTAATAATAAGAACATTGTGAAGTAAGGCGTTCTTTTTTTAGAGGAAGGAATTTTTGTGTGTGGTGGATGATGTTTGATTTTGTTAAATCTTATTAATAATTATTAATTATAATTGATAGATTATTAGATACAGTTCAATCTGAAAATAATATATATTTGGTATTTGAATATCTTGAAACAGATTTAAAGAAGTATATAAAAAATAATGGATTATCAGAAATTATTGTCAAAGTAAGTAACCAATTAGATCAACCAATTTAGAAATTACATTAATTGATCGATTAATCAATTAATCATAATCTATCTCGATCTCTTTTTAAATTATTAAAGAAATTTTTGTGGCAATTAATGAATGGCGTTTGTTTTTGTCATTCGCATCGAATTCTCCATCAAGACTTGAAACCGCATAACTTGTTGATTGATTCTAATGGGAATTTAAAATTAGCTGATTTTGGATCAGCAAGAGTATGTAGTCTTCCAATAAAAGCTCATACTCATGAGGTAACATTTGATTATCTATATATATCAATCAATTGTCTGATTCACGAATAATAAATCCTAATTATTGTAATTATTATTATTATTGTAGGTTGTAACTTTATGGTACAGAGCACCTGAAATACTTCTCGGATGTCAACAATATTCAACTGGTGTAGATATTTGGAGTGTAGCCTGTATATTTGCTGAAATGTTTTTGAATGATGCTTTATTCAGAGGTATATATATTTTGGTAATGATGATGGTGATAGAAAAGAAAAAATTTGCTAATTATAAGAAAATAATTTTCTAGGTGGCAGTGGAATAGACCAACTTTTTAAAATATTTAGGTATTTTATTTATATAGATTTTTATTATATATTATAAATTGACTAAAATGGTTTTTTCCCACGCCACACAAAACAAGTTTACTTGGTTAAAATTAATCAAACAATGAACAAATTACAAAATAGTTCTGAACAAGTGGATGTAAATGTTTGTTTGTCCGGCTAAATATGGCTCTTCAATTTATCGTAACTAGTTGTAACTAATTGTGGCATATGAAAATTGAATTATGGCTAATTGTGGTTCCCATCTGTATTTTTAATGTATTTTTTTTTTCTAATAAATAGGCCAGCATCCTTGTAAAAAATAAACTGATCTGTGATTTGAAATTCTATGTTTTCTCCAGAAATGTATCGTATTCATGGAAAACTCATGGAAAGATTACAGAGGAAAGATGGACTTTGCCACTGTTGCAAATTCATGAAAATTTTCAAGAGTATTAAAATTCAAATAACGGACTATTTTTTTTTTATATAGAGTATTACAGATGTATTTATGGGAGACATGTTAAAACATTAGAGAATATGGGTCTTACAGAAGACAATATTGATGGAATGTGTGAAGGAATGGATAAAGTAATGGAATCACTTAAAAATACTTGTATGAACCAGCGAGAATCCCATGAAAAAGATAATTAATTGGGTTGAAAAAAAAAAAATTCAAATATTTTTATTTATTAATTTTATACAGTATTCAACAAAATGGCTTAATGAGAAGTATCCAAAATATCAAAAAACAATCATTGAAGGATATGAGTTACCAGATTTCAACAATAATAATGGGCAACAAGACAAAGCTATAATAAACTTGGTGCGAGAAGTATGTTTATGAAAAAATTGGTTTTATTTTTTATCATTTGCAATTCTATTTTTCAACGCAAAGTTACAAGAACTTGGACAACCATCATCGGAAATTCTTCAAAGATCTAATTTACGTTCTAATTGTAAACCAATGTAATCAACAAAAAAATTGTTATAAAGTAGTGCGACGTTTTTGTCTTTTTGCCTTATTTTTTGAATGATTAATTTTACGTTTCACAAAGTTCAAACAAAATTTTAAATATTTTCTAATAAAATTAAATAAAAACATGCCAAATCCTGCTAAAGCAAGTCAACGAGAAAAAGAAATTGATGCCGCTAGATATAAAGGTTTCTTTCTATTTATTTGATTATTGATCATTTAATTAATTGTATCCATCATCAAAACAACAACATAATAATTATTATTTATGATTGATCAATAGTTTTCTAATTCATTCATTTTTGGATTTTTTTTAACTCATCAAGGAAATTGGAATGTAATTCCCGAGCTTGCAAGGAAATATCGTAAACATAATCCTGCAGGAATAGGTTTTTATTAATTTATATCATGTCAATAAACATTTGATTATCTATATATATCAATCAATTGTCTGATTCACGAATAATAAATCCTAATTATTGTAATTATTATTATTATTGTAGGTTGTAACTTTATGGTACAGAGCACCTGAAATACTTCTCGGATGTCAACAATATTCAACTGGTGTAGATATTTGGAGTGTAGCCTGTATATTTGCTGAAATGTTTTTGAATGATGCTTTATTCAGAGGTATATATATTTTGGTAATGATGATGGTGATAGAAAAGAAAAAATTTGCTAATTATAAGAAAATAATTTTCTAGGTGGCAGTGGAATAGACCAACTTTTTAAAATATTTAGGTATTTTATTTATATAGATTTTTATTATATATTATAAATTGACTAAAATGGTTTTTTCCCACGCCACACAAAACAAGTTTACTTGGTACACCAAATGAAAATACATGGCCTGGAGTTTCGAACTTGCAAAATTATAAAGTAAATTTCCCTAACTGGGTAGCAAAATCATTAAAATCACGTATTCCAAACCTGGACTATGAAGCAATCGATTTATTAGAGGTACTTATATATATATATATATATATACATACATACACATATATATACACTAAAATATGGATAAATAATTTATATAATTTTTTTCAATATACATATAGAATATGTTGGTTTATGAACCTAGTAAACGAATTTCAGCAAAATTGGCATTATATCATCCATATTTCGATAATTACAATCAACGAAAACGTATAATATATTAATCTCGTTATTTTATATATATTAATATTATGTATTAAAAAAATAGAATATTTTTTTAATATTAATATGGATTATTAATTTATATAGTGATAAAGAGGATGGAAATATTAGTAGTTGTTTGTAGTTATTAAAAAGAAAAAAGAAAATCTTTAATCAAAACATTTCTTTACTTTCCGTCTATGAGTGAGCAAGTCGTACGGTGCAGGTCACTCTAACACATCAAATTCAAGCAAAATGTTTCAAATTCAAGCAAAATATTTTTTATCACTTTACAAAAATGACATTTTTAATTTTTATCACGTGACTTCCCCAAAATGCATTTATATTAATTCATCAATTTCTTCCACAACATCATCTGGAAATTTTCTGAGACTTATATTTTTTTACAATATATTTAGCCTGTAACAGTCCATAAATTTTGCAGCCCTTCTTGTATATTTTCTAATTCATTTCAATGGTATAGAATCAAAGGCTCTGGGAACATTCTCTTGAAGACCTTTCCATGTGTAATTATAATGTTGCCTAACACACCATTTAGCAGCCCCCCAATACATTTCAATGTAGTTAAGCTCACAATGAAATTTTGGATAGAAGATGATCTTATGACCCC